ATCAGTGGAAATGGCCAACAGCTATCCCCAAGCCCATAGCCCCTCGGATTGTGACCTGGATGTCGATGGAAACCAGGGCTGCCACCTTCCAGAGCAAGATCCACCCTAAGACAGCTGTACTTGACAGCTGGCAGCGGCAGCATCAGAAGAGAAACATTCACTTCAGGCCCAGAGGCCTGCGGACAAACATTAACAAAGGTTTTCTGTCCCTAAGAGGGGTGGAGTCTCTGCAACTGAGTTCATAACCCAAATCCAAATTGTGGCCAAAAAGGAGGCAAGGCCAGGCCAACGGAGGCTGTTCTGAAGAGAGAGGGGAAGCGTGGCAGACATTTTGGAAAATGGCTTCTGAGCTCTGGGTGCCTGAACAGGCACACTGAGGACTGAAACTGTGGGGAGCGCCAGTCAGGAAGCGATCTGCTGTGTCATGGCCCCGTGCCACTACGGAGAGAGGTCTCGGGGCCTTGCGCACTGTCTTCCCTCTGCACCTGTAGGTGGCCAGGGGCCCAGGCCCCACGGCCAGACTGCAGAGTGCTGCCCCCCGATGCCACCTACAACCCTGCACAAGTCCCCCACCTCTCAGTCCCTTGGTTTCTGTGCTGGAAGACAGGTGTGGTGAGGATGCAGTGAAGCAGTGCGTGGGGAGCACTCAGCAGCAGTACACATGGCGCTGTCCATCACTGTCATGGTCACCTCATCCACGGGACACACACGAGAATTTCCGCTCCTGGCCCCCACCTCGGAATCTGGCCGGAGCCAGCGTCACCCTCGATGCCATCCTGAGCTCTGTGGACACAAAGTTCCCCCAAGGAGTGCACTGCCTGTGTTCCAGCTACTGGGAGGATCACTTCAGCCTGAGTTGCACCCTTCCTTAGTATTCAGAGCTTCCTCGAGGCTGGGTCACAGCAGGCAGCTGTGAGGCTGCAGAGCACAGTCCTGCAGGACAGGGTCCTGTTGGAGGGCTGGGGCGTCTCTAACCACAGCCCATTAGCCACCTGGTGGCCAGGACAGGGCCGGTGCCAGCAGCAATCCTGCACCAGTGACAAGGAGACAGCCAGCACTCATGGGCTCTCCTGTCACTGTTCAGATGAGACATCCAAGGCCACAGGGGCCCCATGCACTTCTCTCCAGCTCATGATGACAGGAGCTCGGACTCTTCCTTAGCATTCAGTCTCTTTCTAGACTGAAAGCTTCACAGGAACCAGCCGCACCCTGGCATAGGAATGCATGAATGCGTCCACGGGTGGAGAAGGGAAACAGTGGCCTGTGGTCCTACAGCTAGGAAGGCCCGGCCTTCTGGAGGCCTTTTCAACCCCACTCAATGCTGGTCAGACAGAAGGAAAGGAAAGGCGTCCTCACTGGGAGAAAAGAGCACAGTTCACTTGGGAGGCAGTGCTTTCTTAGGGCATGAATAGGGCACATGCTAAAGAGAGAAGAGCAGGAGGGAGACAGTGAGAGGGTGCTGGCCATGGGCATCAGGCAGTCAGCCAGGCAGGGCAGCAGGGGTCAGGGCGTGGCCAGAGAGGGCTGCCAGCAGTTGTAGGCCGGGGCTGAGCACGAGGCAAGTGTGAGCTGCTTTGGAGCCAGAACCAGTGCTAGGAGTACTGAGCAGAGGAACGGGCCAGATGTCAATGTCAGGGACAGGGAGGTCCCTGGTTGCATCCCCAGACCCAGACCCTAAGCTGCCTCTGCCTGTGTCTGTCCTTCCCCTAGGGCAGGTCCTGCCCTTGACTGCTTCGAAGCTTCCCCCCATGGACCCTTCCCCTGCCAGGAAGGAGAACTGAGCCTCTTTACAGCCACAAACCCAGAGAGGCAGGACCGTGGCCAGGGCCATAGGAGAGCTGGAGCCGGGGACCCAACACTGCCCACCCTGACTAGGCCAGGGTCTGTGCTGGCGTCGTTTCTTGGCAGGAGCCTGGCTGACCCTGGCTCACCCTCCTTACACATCCGGTTCCCCTAATCAAAACCAGCCTGCATCCTCCCTCACCCCCACCCCCAGCTCCCGGAGGCTCTGGAGAGCTGGCCAGGCGCTGGAAGTCAGGGGACAGGAGGAATCTAATTTGCCAAAGGGCTCTGGATCCATTGGAATCAGAGGTTACTTGGGTGCAAAACAAGCTCTGTCCTGGCACTCCAGGCAGGCTCTGAAGTCACAACAGATGGAGGGCTGGAGGGGTGAATGACCTGCTTAGGCCCTAGGAACCCTGTTCCCACCAGAGAATTAATGAGCAGTTGGTCTTTGGCCTGTGGATCCACCTCTTCCCTCTGGGCATTCCACACAGCTGCTGTGACCCTGCGAATGCTGAACCATCCAGTGATGCTTTTCAGATGGGCTTTGTTGCCCAGATTTAAAAACTGGGAGATTCCCCCTGAAAATACTAACGAGAAGAAGGGACTTTTTTTTTTGTACCGGGGATTGGACTTAGGACCTTGTGCTTGCGGCAAGGCAGGCGCAGTGCCACTGAGCTAAATCCCCAGCGAGAAGGGACTCTATTACTGATGTGCCCACTAATGCAGACCCACGTTGAGGCCCCCACATCTGTATTTTGGTTAAGTATGGATTTCTGATTTCAGTTAAAAACCAGATCTGGCTGGGCATGGTGCACATGCCTATACTTCCAGCACTTTGGGAGCCTGAGGCATGAGGGTCGAAAGTTCAAGTCCTTAGACAATTTAGTGAAACCCTCTGGAATATAGCTCAGTGGTAGAGTATGCCTGGGTTCCATGCCTAGTAACACACACACACACACACACACACACACACACACACACACACGCACGTGCCTCGTGCATACCTCAGGATCTAGCCCCTGGAGCCTTTGAGTGGAGTGAGCCATGTGCCTAATACCACCACCAGTGCACAATCCCAGCTCCTGGAAGTTCTCAACTTCCCCTAGAAAACCCCCGGCATCATTTCCTATCTCTGCTTCCCCAGCTTCTCACTGCTGTCTTCCACCCAAAACCTAAACCCTTCTATGGTTGGGGCTCTCAAGTGCCCCTCATCCTGGGTTCCTCTTGCTTTGGTCACTGTGCTCCATGGTTCCGCTCTTGTTCTGCTTTTCACACATAACTATTGCCTTTCTACCCCAGGGCCTTTGCACACTCTCTGCCCGGCATACCTCACCCCACAGCTCCATGCTCCTCTTTCTCGTCATTGGGTTCCTGCACACACTTGGCTTCTTTGCAAGCCCTCTGCCCCTGGCCACTGTGTTCCCCTGCCTGTTTCTTTCCTTGTAAGAGCATTACCTTCTGAGCAGAAGCCCCACAGGCAGTATGCCTGGGCTGCCACCTGACTCTGCCCTCCAGCCTGCCTGAGCCCCCTCGCCCATCAGAAGGGTCTCACCCAGCCTCCTCAAGGGTGGCTGGGAGGCTAATGAGTGGTTTGCTGTGGCGCTCAGGCCCGTGCCCGGGCAGCGAGTTGCTGCCACCCATGCTGTCCCCTCTCCCAAGCCACTTCTGTGGCTGACACCAAGATCTGTCATCTTCTCAGCCCAGCAGATGCTGACAAGCCCAACGGGCACGCGATGACCAACAGTCCGCAGTTGTCTTCTTGCATCTTGCTTACCCTTCCTGCATGCCCTCCTACCAGCCAGAGGCCTCATCCCGGTCCCAGGCCCGCCTTGGGCAAGGGGGTCCTCTCAGGGACCCAGGGCGTGGGCCTGATGGAAAAGATGCTCCGAGGCCAGGCCTGGGGACGCCACAGCGCTGGCAGCTGTGGCCCTGCGAGGTCCCCTCCCACTCTTTCCTGTGCATGGGTTCTCATGCGGCCCTGCCGGGGTCCGGGGCCCTCACTTCCATCTTCCGCTACCTCCTAGTGGAAGGGATCGGTGTCCTCCTACCTCCCTAGAGCACCTCCGAGGGGTGGCCATGAGGTCTGCATGCTATGACCTCGGTGGGTGCCTTGGAGCCACAGAGCTCGGCCTTTGTGTCCTTCTGGGGACACTGCAGGGCCAGGGATCAGCAGACCAGATTTGCCTGTGAAGAAACCACTGGAACAAACGAGTGGGTGCCAGCAGGTTGTACCCAGCCCTCCTTCCTATGTGACACTCTGCTCAGTCAATGCCACGGTCCCCATTTTGTGGACAAGCCAGTTGCCTGAGGAGCAACCCAGCCAGGAGTGCAGGGGCTGGGTGCCGCTCGTGTCCCACTGATCCAGGCCCAGTGTGTTCTCTTTGCTCCCCACCTTCCAGCATGAACCCCTCCTGGGCCCACATGCTAGGGAGGCCTCTGCCTGGCCTGGTCCCTCCAATTTCCTTGTCAAGGGTCAGTGGTGGGAGAGGGGCACATCGTCCTTGGCCACTTGGAACAGCCAGGCCCAGTGCACTGCTGCAGAGCACAGCTCCACCCTGGGACTCCAGACCTCATTTTAGGCAAGAGAAGGCCTGGAGCCTTCCTAAGTGCGGTGCCCTCTGCCTGGGCCTTCTCCAAATCTGCCTCTGCCTGATGTCCCAGCCTCCAGACCTGACCACCAATGCCCTGAGCCCGAGTGCCTTCACCTGCAGGGCTTGGCTGGGGCAGGCTCTATCCCAGCCCTGTCTGTGCCCATTCCTCTGCATGTCCCTAGGCAGGCCTGCTGGGGCACTCGGCCTCCAGACCTCCAGGACCTCAGCCAGATGGTGACCCATGAGCACGTGGCAGATGGTGGAGAAGGAAGCTGGCACGCAGCCTGGGTAGACCTCAAGCCTCCTTTAGAGAAGGCAACATGAGGAATGGGAGTCCTCTCTTCCTGGCCACAGCCAGCCCAACCCAGAAGGGCAGACAGTGCCTGGTCACTTCTGCTACCTGTGGCCCCACCTCATCTCCACACAGAAACGTGAGAAACACCAACAGCCCGGTGCAGCTAACAAGGGCAGCAGCCGGGAGGGATTCCATACAGAACCAATAGCAGAAGCCATTCAGGTCACCCTGAAATCTCTGCCAGACCCTGAGGGGCTGGAATGCAACAGGCAGGGGTTTCCAGGGATGCCTGCTGGGGATGGGGGTGCAGTCAGCACCGGGCTACTTACCGTTGGAGCGGTGGATACAGGTGTGCTGGTTGTCGCTGAGGAAAAAGCCACTGTGGCACTGACACTCGTAGCTGCCCATGGCGTTGACACAGATCTGCTGGCAGCCACCATTGTTGTCTTGACACTCATCCACATCTGCGAGAAGATAAAGAGAAGGGGAGAAGAAGTCACACTTGGAGCTGGTGAGACACAAGTGAAGTTTCTCCAGACTACACTGCAGGGACCTCTTGGAGGGACTCCTCGGAGGGACTCCATGGTGCTATGCTACAGTGGTACTCCAGGGAGGTACTCTGTGGTGGCGCTCCACAAAAGTACTCCAAGGTACTCCACAGAATATACTCCATGGTATTTCACAGTACTCCACAGAGGTGCTTCATGGATATACTCCATGGTGTGACGCCACAGAAAGTACTCCACATTATTCCATGGCAGTACTCCCCAGAAATACTCCAAGGTACTCTAAGGTGGCACTCCACAGAAGTACTCCCTGGATGTACTCCATGGCAGTACTCCACAGAACTACTCCATGGATGTACTCCATGGCGGTACTCCACAGAACTACTCCATGGATGTACTCCATGGTGGTACTCCACAGTACTCCATAGGATCTCCACAATGGTACTGCCCAGAGTGACTCCATAGAAATGGCCAGTCCCAACAGCAGTAATGTTGGCTGACCTTGGCTGCTTCCTGTGTGCTCTGTGCAGTTCTAAGCAACTTCCCTTGAAGTTAAGTCCTTGAGTCTTCACAGCAACCCTGACAGATCCTGGTATTAGTTCATTTATAGATGAGGAAACCAAGGAAGACAGAGACAAAGTCATTGGTCCAAGGTCCCACTAGTGGTAAGTGGCAGAGGTAAGATTCAAGCCTGGCGGGCTGACTTCCAAACTGGGGCTCTCCCCAACATCATCAGACCCCGTCTCTAGGAAGACAGAGAAGCCCATGCTGTCTCCCTCATCACAGAGAGCCTTGTCAGCCACAGCCCACTACCCTTCTTTAGTCCACGTTGGGTTGCAGCAAGGGACCCTGGAGCCGTGGAGAGTTGGGGACCAGGGCAGCCTGTGCCACACCGAGGCGCTGGGCCCTGCAAATGGATTTCAAAAGCCTGGCAGGTGGGGAGGATTTGAAAAGCCCTGACCCCTGGGTGCCAGGCCTGCCAGGAAGGCTGCCAAGAGTCTTTCCCACTCCCTGGCGGGGAGAGCTGGACCCAGGGGCTGACTGGTTTCTGGCTGCTGGCACAAAGGGTATGCTGGCTGCAGAGAGTCTTTATGGAGTGCTGGTCCTAAACAGAACAGCATGTTTCAATTACCCAAGTCATAACCCCCTACTCTGTCAGTTTGTTTAATGAAAGAAGGGCTTCTTAAACCGTAATGTCCCATGGCTGTATTGTCATTTTAATAGGCAAATATATAAAACCACAAAGGCAATGTGAGCTACTGGCTGCTTCTAGCTGATCTCCAACACACACACACACACACACACACACACACACACACACACACACACGCATGCACATGCACACAAAGCATGCGTTTTGGGACTGAGAATTTCATATAGTTCCATTTACTGTGGGGACCTGAAGGATGGGAAGGTTAGAGGCAGGTAGAGTGACCTGTGGTGGGCCAGGTGACAGCTCCACTCTGGCATCGCATCAGCTGGGTCCTATTATAGGCTTAGGACAGCAGCCCTTCTCCAACCCAGGAGCCCAGGGCTGCCTTTGAGGCCCTCAGCGAGGTGCTTCATTATTCTCTGGCAAGCTCAGATGTGAGCATGTGGCAGCCGGAGGAGGGAGGTACAGCTCTGAGCTCTAAAAGCCACCAGTAGCTGCTGCTCATATGGAAAGGTGGCTCTTGCTGAGAGCAGCCATAGGATCAGTCCCAGAGCCCAAGGGACTGACCCAGGAAGCCGGAAATAGGGACAGGGATTATGACTCTGAATATCTTTCTCCTCTAAGTCTTGCCGATGGCTCCTGGCAGGCTCCATGCTAATGTCACCTTTGCTGGGGGCAGCATCTGCTCCAGCTGGCACTGGATTGTGAATAGCCCAGTGCAGGCACGGTGTCCTCCTCACCCTCTCAATACCACAAAGCTAGTAAGGCCGGAGAGTTTAGTGTGAGCCCAGGTGACGGACTGTTACTGATAGATATGTGGAGGAGGACACTGGAAAAGCCCAAGTGGCCTGAGCACAGCCGAACAGTGGGTCAGAGGAAGGCCACTCCAACCTGAGGTCCAGGTCCAGAGCGTGTGCTGCCACCTCCCCTTGCTAAGCTGGAAGTGGCACAAGGGTGTGCACTGTGAGCCCCAGCTGCAGCCAGCAGCCCCAGGTCAGTCCCATTTCTGCCCAGCGTGACCGTGAGGCACGTGACTATGAGGCACGTGACTGTGGCGGGTCCTGGGTGCACCTGACGAGACCTGACTGGCAGCCAGTCCTGGGACACAACCTCTGTTCCCTTGGCCCTCAGTCTGTCCTATGTCGAAGTCCCCAAGGCTGGAGGAAAGGTTCAGTGGTAGGCAAATGGGAGAGAGCTGAAGCCCTGAGTGCTAGGTCTGGGTGCCACTCAGCTGCAGCCACCTGGCTTGGGCGCACACCGAACCTTGCCCAAGGCCAGGAACCCAAGGGCAGTTGATGTCCCACATCCATAAGCCCTCAGTGACCTGGCAGGGTGGCTGGGCCGCGGTGACCGGGCTGTTTACACGAGCAGGGAACAATGACTCGCCAATGCCGATGAATAATTTGAAACAGATGCAAGGCCGTGTAAACACTGCCTCTCCTCACTCCCGAGCAATAAACCCAGGATTAAGCAGTCGGGAAGAGGGGGTGCCCCCGCATCCTTTCTCTACAGTGTCCAAACACAGGCCTGGCCCCCAGCCCTGGCGTAGGGCAGACATCCTGCACCCTGAGCCTCCAGCCCCCAAGGCCCACAGTGAGGGCTGTCAGCCACTGTCCCCCTGGTGAGGACAGATAGGGTTCACATGCGAAACAGCTCTGAGCTCTCTCTAGAAGTGGGGCGAGCCCAGCACTCTGCTCCACTGACCCCAGCACTTGGCATATTCTGTTCCAGGGCTGCCCCATGGCAAGCAGGGAGCCCAGGCCTGCGAGTTGGGTTCTCAGAGTTCTGCCCTGCCCTGTCCTTCGGACCATGGGCCATGCCTGGGCCTGGTCTGCAGGGCACTCTGTTTGTCAGGGACAGAGGCTGCCCTCCTGGGAGCCTTCCAAGTGCTGCTGTTCTGTGTGCCAGTGGGCTCAGAGATGAGTGTGGAGGGGCACTGGGGACCTGGGGACCACACGGGACCCCTCTCATTGCTGCCAGGCCCCAGTTCAGGGCTCAGGCACCTGGTTTGTAAGTCCACACACGGCCCAAGCTCCTATGTGGCTGGTGAAGCCCCCACCCTCCCCAAGCACAGTGACCAGAGCACAGGGAAGGGAGGCTTCCTGGAGCAGGTGACGCAGGCCCTGGGCCTAGTTGTGCAGGGAGATTTGTGAACTGAGTCAGGAGGAGGACAAGGTGCTCGGAAGCAAAGGCTGGTGAGAGGAGCGGAGCAGGGCCGCGTCGCTGATAAGCACAGCAGTGTCACCGAGGCTTCAGCTGCACTGAGCCTGCGTGCAGTGAGGGCCCGGACTGGCCTGTTCCAATCCAGGGTCCAGGAGCCCTGAGCAGGCTCCTGGTGGGGAGGGGTGTGACCCGCCTCTGAGTCCCAGCTCATGGGCCTTTATCTTTATTTACAGTCACAGTGGAAGGTTCCCAGAAGGCAGGGAGCCCTTGGCTCAGGGACAGAGCTACAGGGCAGGAAAACAATGCAATAATGATGGCTAAAGGATGATGCAGAGTGCAGAGAGGACGCTGTCACCCTGGAAGGCACCAGCGGGCACCCGTGGGCAAATGTGCTCCCTTCTTTCAAGTGCACTTTTGGTTGTGCACCAGTCTTCCGGCCTCCATCCCACATCCAGATCCTTTCTGTGGGGGCAGCAGCTGCAAAGGACGCTCGCTGGGCTAGGACATGGCACCATGACACCAAAGATCAAGCCCTAGCTGCTCCTCTGGCATCAGGCCGCCCTGGCCCCACTCTGTAGCGCCCCGCTCTGGCGTTGGGGTGGGGGCATTCCTCACAGACACAGGTGCCCCACCAACACCCCCAGCTGCGGGAGGTTCCCGTTGGGGCATTCCCCCACGCTGTGGCTGGCACGGTTGTTCTTCAGTAGGCTGTAGGTGGATCTGCTTCTGAGAGACCTGTGGTATGCTGTGCCCATGAGGGCTGTGTTTTGGCCCAAGATGCTGGTGTTTGTTTTTATTAATAGCTGCCTGTTTGTCCTGCTTTGGACCAAGAATCCAGGTTGGAGGTTATTTATAACTCAAAAGTACTTCTGGATCCAGCTTTGGTTGCTTTGTTTCCTTTGAATGTTTCCTGATTCGAAACAGAGACTCTGTGTTCTGCTCAGACCCCGCCCACATCTCCCTGGTCACCAGGAGCCTACTGTGTGTCAGGCTAGTGCTGGCTGTGCTGTCCCAGTCCCCGCCCAGGGTGGGAACAGGGGCAGAGGCGAGTCCTCCAAGCCCAACCCGACCTCCAACACTGAGCGCTCCCACCTGGCCCCAGGCTGCGCCTGGCCCTCCCCTGGTTCCCCTCGGAAGGCAGCTTAGGCAAAAAAGCCTCTTGGCCATTGAGTGAGGAGTGAGTGGCTCTTGCAAAATTGCATTTGATGAGTTAAGTGTAAATAGATGAGAACCAGATGGATTCAATTTCGGGTAAAATACACACAGGTCTTACAGCTTTGGGCCCTGGGTTCTGCCCGATCCAGAACATTCCCTGAGCTGTCAAGAGCTCTGTCACAGGGAGGCGGGGGTATGACCAGAGTCCCCAAGGATCTGCCTGCTGCCTGAGGGCATTGGTTGGGGCTCCTGATGGCCCAGCAGCTTGGCTGTGTGCAGCCCCTTATGGCGGGCCGGGCCTAGGTCCGAGTGCAGGGCACCTGGGAGATGAGTAGGGTCACCATTCCAGACCTGAAAGCCACTGTTACAGTTGGATCCCTGAGCAGCCCGGGAGAGACAGGGCCCTTCAGAGCTGTCCACCACGCCCGCTCGTCTGAGCTGGCCCTCTGGCCCCAGCTGCTGTCCTGAAGCCCCCACCGCTCCATGT